AGACTCGAGCTCTATACTCACTCTGCGATCCCCTTCAGGTGACACTAGCAGCACTTTCTCCTTGCGCCTATCCGGTGACGATGCAGCTTCGAGCACCGGCCAAGCCGGTGTTGGTATTGCCCTGAGTCCCCGGGCTGAAACTGCTGTGGTTGATTGGATTCCAATCAGTAGCCGGATGTGTGCGGTCCGATTGGCTGGCTCGTTCAAAACTTCGAAGTCGCGCTTGACCAACAGGTGTCTATTCGTTATCGCTGCCTATGCACCGACAAACTGTAGCGATGACTCGGTAAAAGACGACTTCTATCGCAAACTGAACGAACTCCTTCGCCACAGAAGAAGCTTAGACACTGTAGTGCTGGCTGGGGATCTGAACGCTCACGTTGGAAAATTATCCGCAGATGAGCTGCATCTGGGCGGCCAACATGGTATAGGCTCCCGTAATGATAACGGTGAGCGGTTACTTCATTTGTGTGAGGATGCTCGCTTAGTTCTTGCGAGCACTAATTTCCGACACAGCACCCGCCGGAGGGTGACTTGGCGCCCACCAGCCTCGAACCAGCTATGGACGCAGATGGATCACATTGCTATCAGTTACCGCTGGAGAGGCTGCGTCCAGAACTGTCGCTCGATTTGGAGCACAGGTGTTGACACCGATCATGCACTTGTATGTGCTGACCTGCGGATGCGCTTTGGCGGAAGCCCGCGACGATGTTGTGAGCGCATTGACACCGGCAGACTGGTGAAGCCAGCTGTTCTGAACGCCTATCAAATTACGCTGTCATCCGAGTTGGATAAACGCTCACTGGATGCAATCGAAGCTCATTGGTCTCATATGCAACAGGCCTTACTAGCAGCAGGCAAATCCTCATGTGGTATGTCTAATCGCCAACATGAACATTGGGTCTCTTCACAGTCTTTGGAACTTATAGATGCTCGCCGGCATATTCCGGCTGGAAGCGAACACAATGAAACACGCAAAGAGCTCCGGGCAAAACTCCGTGCTAGCCAGAAGAGAGACCGCGAATCCTGGTGGTCTCGTCGTGCAACAGAGATGGAAATGGCCGCTGCCCTTGGTAACCATCGTGAGTTATTCCGTCTTATACGGGAAACGGGCAGCAGGAGACCTGGTGTTAGTGAAACTATACGTGACGAGAGTGGACAGCCTATCCACAATTTATCAAAACGCCTGGAACGTTGGGCTGAGCACTTTGAAAGGCAATTTAATCGGTCGGAATTGTTAGATTTCTCGCCGACCAGTGATCGCCCTGCTCCGTGGGCTGTTCCTTTGGATCCACCCACCCGCTCAGAAGTCGAACATGAGATCAAACTGTTGAAGTTAAATAAAGCCGCGGGACCTGATGACCTTCCTCCAGCCCTCTTCAAATTCGGGGGACCTGCTCTTGTGGATGATTTACACGAGTTACTAGTGAGACTGTGGGAGCAGGAAACTGTCCCAACCGATTGGAGCCACTCCGTCATAGTCCCAATTTTCAAAGGAGGCTCACGATCGGAATGCGGCAGCCATAGAGGAATCAGTCTGATCTTTATCGCCTCCAAATTGCTTGCCTCTGTCATCCTTCACAGACTGACTGGCACTCGTGAAAGCCAGATTAGTGAAGAGCAAGCTGGATTTCGTCGAGGTCGTAGCTGCATTGACAACATCTTCACCTTGCGTCAGTTGTTGGAGCACCGTCACATATATTTGCGGCCCACCGTAGTCGTGTTCCTCGATATCAAAGGTGCATTCGATTCGGTGGATAGACATGCACTTTGGGACTGTCTACTCAGGAAAGGTGTACCTGAGAAATATGTGAATATTATCCGAGCATTATATGCGCGTAGCTCGGGCAGAGTGAGGGCTTACGGCAAGTTGTCGTCGCCCTTTACTATCTCCAGCGGCGTGAGACAAGGATGCCCGCTGTCACCTTTCCTCTTCAACTTCGCTGTTGACGAAGTCATGGAAATCGCGTTTACAGGACACGACTTAGAAGGTGTGGAGCTACTCCCAGGAGAACGACTTCTTGATTTAGAGTATGCTGATGATATTGCCCTCATCTGTGACAGCTCACAAACGTGCCAAGCGGCACTGGACAGATTAGCACTAGCTGTCCGTCACTTCGGGCTTTGCTTCGCACCCTCGAAGTGCAAAGCGTTTCTCCAAGATTGGTCTGGACCGCCTCCTACGCTGACCCTTGGTGGGATCAGCTAGAAGTCGTTCAGAAAATTCAACTACCTGGGAAGTTGTATCAGCGCCCGTGGGATTGAAGATGAAATCACGAATCGTATAGCAAAAGCTAGGGTCGCTTTTGCTAACCTTCGCCACTTATGGCGCAGGCGCGACATCACTCTTGCCCTGAAGGGTAGAGTGTACAATGCAGCAGTACGTTCGACCCTATTGTACGGTTGTGAAACCTGGCCGCTTAAAGCAGCGGACCTCAAGAGGCTAGTTACGTTCGACCACCGGTGCCTTCGTAATTTAGCTCACATTTGGTGGGAACACCGCGTGAGTAACGAGCGTGTTCGACGCCTTGTTTATGGCACAGGAAAAGGAAATGAACCGCTCAGCACCGTTATTTCACGCATTAGGCTCCGATGGTTCGGCCACGTGTTACGCATGCCAGCCCACCGACTTCCGCGACGTGTGTTGTTTGCGCGCCGGGGGTGTGGATGGAAGAAGAGGAGGGGTGGCCAAGCGATGACTTGGTCCAGAGGAATGAAGACCCTCACTTCTGAGCTGGCCTCGGTTGGAGCGTCTCGGCTCCCTGGTTGGGGTCCGAAAGACGATGAACACGTTTGGTTGGACACACTTGCTGATATGGCTAGGAGCCGACCTCAGTGGCGTTCGTGCTGTGAGTTTCTTTGTCCCACCCCATCCCTCTTAGCCTCCCCCTCCAACCACGATCTCATTACTTAGCCTTATATAATTTTGCATAATAATTTTTTTGGGTGCACAGCAGCCGGCTGGTAGCTTGTCGGAACGATGCCCATCCGTTACCGGTAGCTCAGCCAGCTTTCACCAGTTGTTTTCTTTTTCTCTCTCATTTTTTCTTTGTATTGCGGCACAGTAGCTGAGGTGTTCCCCACCTCTAGCTAACGTGTATGATGATGATGATGATGCCACGCCAACAGACAAGCTCAAAGTCCTTGCAATGTCATCCACTGGTCGGCCATCTTCGTTAATCGCTACAACTCTCAAAGTTTTCTTTCAATCTGTAAAAGAAATTACATCCATGTGAAAAGAAGTAAAACAACAAAACTAAACAAAAAGTAAGCTTCTATCTGTATTAGAAGGCTCTGTGCCGAAAAATTCACCTTATTTATTGAATGACCCTCGTATGTTGTTTTTCAGCCCTCTTTCTTTTCCATCAAGCCCATGGCGGCCTCTTGAATCTTTGCGCTTTCTGAACCCAATACCAACTCGAACCGTTTCGTAGCCACAATACCTCACTTCACTCCCAGTCCTGTAAAACTTGCTCACTCCATTCTGCTGTTGCATCGCACAGCAAAATGCCCTGTACACATCCAGTACCCTTGGATGACACGGGTCATATGGATCAGCATACGTCGTCTCTGTTGTCTCTCAGGACATGACTTACTTCACTGTTTCTCTGAGCACAGTCATTCCACCTGTGTGCACTTCTAGTGGTTTGTCTGTCTCCACAATGATTCACTTATCTTCTTACCATGGTGCTTCTGAGCACTTCTTATCCGGACTGCCGATGGACTCAACTTGAGTTATTGTTTGCTCAGCTTTACACAATTTGATCTCACACTGCGGACCTTACAAAGCGGCTGTTTCACTGGCTTTTGATTGTCTTGTGCTGACACACACAAGCGTGTATTGGTCACTTTCCATGAAGTGTTCTGTAGGTGTGCTTGTGAAGTGAATCATCTTATTCGATAGAAACTGATTCCAGACCCACTGAAACATGCGCATCTCCGCGGTATCGGGCTGAATTGGGGCTATAGCTAGATGAGATGCTAACTCCTTTATTGAAAGCATCAATCTAATTTGGACCTGCCGCTATCCTTTACGATGACTAAGTGGTACCTTGATGTAGTTTGATGGTGTTAGCGTAATCTTCCGGATGACTCATCATGTCCGTTGTCCGGACCAAAAGTGACAGGACATCCATTTAATGACTACTGCCCGGTTATTGTCTGCCGGCGGTGTACACAGTTAAACGCGACAATAATACGCGCAAGATAACTTTATGAAATTCCAGCCTCTGGAGCTACAAATCTTATTGTTGAACTCTGAATTTCGGGCTGATTACCATTTTTGGTTCCTCACTCTATTCCGCGATTTCTTGTCATTTTGTGAGAAGTGCTCTCGCTTAAAGGGTCACCAAGTTGCGCCCGTGTTCATAGCTTGAGGTGACACATTGCGGTCGTCCTAATTTTTCCTTTTACGATCTATTTCGTAACCGTAACCGTAGGTGCCGTTTTTTCATCCCGTCGCATCATGTCTCAGCTATGTACCGCCTCGGTGATATCGAATATTGAACACAGGCAACGGACTTATGCTCAACTTTTGGACTACCACTTGCAGCAGTTGGAATAGGTTACCACCCCCCCCCCCCCCCCGATTTCATTAACTCCTTTTTAACACGCCCGTGCCATCAATCAACGAAAGGCATCCAAACATTGCTAACTCAACATGTGGAATCCAAGATACCGAATGTGCACTTGCCGATCAACCCTATTGGGTCGATCGATAGCCGTCTTGCGTTCATCTTATATAATAGCTTTTTGTAAACATACCTCACCTCACTGTCGGGCTTCGGTCGAGTCACGTTACTAGGTGCATGAGCACCAAAGCGGGAAGATTAGCTCCCGCGTCGAACGTTCATTCTAACAGACTTAGTATATGTGCAGTCAGATTACTTCGTCCGACTTTTCTTGGCCTGCACTCAGCTCAATTTTGAACGGGTTTCATCAGCTCTCTTTGGATTGTGCACCTCAGTTACTTGCATCGTTCCTTGTTCCACCCCGTGCAGAGAAATACTATGTAAACAAGTGGATTCCCTTCAGGCCTATTTCGACGCTTGCGGTGTTGTTCTACAGCACTCAACCGACGATCGTTTGGAAGACTGGCTGAAGGATGGTGGTGACCACACCAACTCGGACGAATTGGACTCTCTGGATGACAGGGAGTCTGTGCGCGGACTTCATGGGCTCACTCAAAGATCTGCTGGCGGTCTGTACTCGTATGCAGATGAACTGTTATCCTCGAACTCACGCACGGCATTGGCCGACCTGTCATCGACAACGGATTCTGATGTACGTGTTTGATGTGTGCCCATTAACATACATAACTAACTAAGTATATTTCCCAGCGCGCGGGACATGTTCCCTTTTTTGAAACGATCATTTATACAGCGAGTTTCGTCTAAATTTTATTTGTGGATTTGCATTCAATATGGAACAGTGATACAGTGCTTTATTGAGTATGCAATAAGCAACCTTATTTAACAGTTGATATAGTCATGTTTTTCGGGCCTGATTCCTTGAGTGCGCTCCTGTATTGCTGAAGGACGAAAATTTTGACCACATTTGGCGAGGAAAGAAGTGTTTAGGTGAAATTTGTATATAGACAGGCTCTCGCTGGTCTTTAATTACATCGGCACTTCATTCCACAGATAGGCGTACCTCACCAAGAAGAAATTTAAGCGGATATTTTGCTTGGTCTTCTATAAGAATAGTAGACATTTCCCATTACGAATGGGATAAGTTGAGCCATTTTATAAAACGACAGCCGTGCTGCTTGGGAAGACTCACGAGTATGTTATACTGTAAAGAACAGTGAAATTACTTTTCAGCCGTCGAAGCCAGATTGAGTCCAGCTGGAGGTAAGTATATCGTTCCTCATAGGTAAGCGTTGATAGCCGCCCCATGCCCAATTGGGTAAGGGAGCGCTGGACGTCTTCCAAAGCAATTCTGTCTTGCGCAAGTGGCTCGAGCACAGCCAACAATTGTTTGTGCAGTACACAGTCAAACGCTTTTTGGATCTCCAGAATGCTGATGATGATGTCCATGCCACCATCAAGTGTTGCTGTAGCGTGATCAAGGTATTGCAATTGGAATGCGACACAGGAGTGCTTTGTAGTGAACCCATGTTGGGAACTGCTGAGTAGGTTGTCTTGTCAGGAACTATGTTGCCCCAGTCTTAACGATTCTTTTCAAAACCTTAGCGGTGGCCGAATTATGGTTTATCGGCCGAAAGTTTGACTTTCAATCTCGTGGACTGCCTTTTTGTTTCGGCATAATTATGATATTTTTCCATTGAGGCGGGAAGCAACTAATGTTTAACGGTAGTGTAAAAATGTTCAACGTGAGGGGAGGTACCTTTTCTCAACCTAATCTTGTCGCTGCAGGAGGAACGCCTTTGATCTCAGTTGGAATATCGTTTTGATGAATGTAATAGTCCTCCGTACGTCATTTAGACTCAGTGTTATGGTACATAGGGCCTCTTCAGTTTTTCTTGGATGGATAAGAGAAGATACATACATTACAGTACTAAACGAAGCTGCAAAGTAGAGATTCATTAAATCACATATTTGGACTATATCCTCTGTTGCCGCACCATCGTTTAAACGTAGACTTGAAATTTCCCAGTGTCGTTTCAGATTTCTTTTTCACAATAACTGCATCAGGGCATGAGCTTTCTCTTCATTCCTTATGGTTCGAATTTCCTCGGTACTCCTAGACTGTTGAGTTTTGCGTATTTGAATTAATTTGACGATGTCTACTTTTGCAGTGCATTGACCTTAACTTCTTAGCTTGGAAACGACCTTGAATGAGTGTTCGTATCGGCCATCAAAGGAGCCTATGTTCACTTTTGACGCAGGACTAGTATGTCCGTACATGTGATCATATTTTTTGCGAATTTGCCTGCGGCTATCGCCGAATCTACTGTGGTGAAGAATCGCTCCCAACGAGTGCTCCTAGGCAGCTTCTCAAATGTGCTGCAATCATTAAGATCTAATCGGGGTACTGGCTTTTTATTGCTCTGGACTTTTCATTTGGCCTGATATTCATGCTGCAAAGCACCATATTGTGGTCACATCTTGTTAATGGATCATCAATTAATAAACCATGGTGAAAAACAGATTTATGATGTTATCTAACCTGGTAAGTTGTTTAACATGTTGACTCCAACCATTGATGCAGATAAATCGGATTATTTCCGCAAGTCCTACAGTTGTTGTAGGCCTATGCGACATCCAATTTATATTTGGCAGCTTGAAATCCACATAGGATTTTGTGCTTGTATGGAGTGGTGGAAGTAGCGTTAATGGCAGACATTAACTACTGAGATTCATGGAGTGTGGCAACCCAGTAGCAGATCATTATCCGGAATAGTCAATCATATGGAGCCGTCTAAATTGTTAAAGGCTATCTAGTCAGCTGTTGATATTATGCCATGATGTATGTAGATGGCATATCCGCCACCGCGTTTACCTAGACGATTCTTCCGAAACAACTGATAACCTAGAACATTCAGCTTAGAGTCACATACAGCTGATTTGCATCATGTTTCGGTGATACGAACAACGTGAGGAGTTTTAAAGAACATGAATGTTGTAGGGAGATCCAGTTTGACCCTAGCGAACGAATATTTATAATGACGGAATTAAGGGAAAAGTGAGGTAGGATGCACAGATTTGGTGGTGTGCCGTAGTGAAACAATCGGGTTCTGTTGTGCATTATGTGCTATTGGCTCCATCGAAGGAATTGCTATAACAACTGGATCATCATTGGATTTTGTATGATGGTGGCGGATGCTGGCCTAAAAACAAACACTTGGCAGAGAGTGAGGCGGTGTAAGGTGGGCTAGAAACTGAGGCTGCCATTGGGAGGTAGTGGGGGTGTATGTCCCCATATGCATATTCAGACTTGTCACAAAATGCTTCATTATTCGGGTTAGGATATTGCTATCTCGGGGTCAGAGAGGTCGGTAGCGAAAACTTTTGTGACGCTGGGTAGTAGGCCGACTGATTACTATTGACGCCGGAATCGGTTCCAATATCATACGCTGAAGTGGGACGGCGTGCACTTTTCCCCAGCCGATTTAATGGGTGTTTCATTTCCTGGTAAAGGTTATTTAGGTGTTATTAATTGTTTGGCATTTCCCTGGAGTATACTAGGCATACGGCGTTCTGCGATGCATTTACTTCTACTTTAGACCTAAAGTAATTACTGTGATATTCACTAATGGGTAATTTATTAGAATTTCCGGTTATTACTTGTTGCCACACAATTTACGGGCCCATTGCTTGGAAAAGGAGCACATAATATGGCACTAACTTCTGCGCGGTTTGAATAGTGGTTACGTTGTGCCTTCGCCCAGTGCCTTCTGGCCAGACCGGGTCAGCATTATCGTGCAATGATACCTCGTGAGAGAGTTGGTGGACTCGGTACTGGTGAGTAACTTAGAATAGTGGCGGTGTTGGTGATCTGTCAAGGTCCATATCGTTGTCAAAACGGTTGGTGTAAGTGCGTGAAATATGAACGCTTTCGTATTGGCGTTTGGTCGCTTCTGATCAAAGTGTTCTTAAAGTCAGTTCGTGCTGCAATGACCTGTTCGTTATATACAAAATGTTCAGCTGTTGTCTCATCCGGGCATTTAATGAGGATGGGGCATGATCTCATTGCCGCTTTCTTCAGAAGCCTGAGACATAGACAGTTAGAGAAACTCATATTGAATGCAACGAGCAAGATATGTTTGATTTTATCTATGCTCAATCGGTCAGGTGTGTTAAACACATTCACGTTCTTTACTCTGCGTAAGCTCTTCTGAATCTCAGTTTTGACTAAGGATGGAGTAGAGCCGGCCTTGTGGAGTGTATCTAAGTTCATATCCTTTAAACCTTTAACTAATTTGTGATGAGACTGGACCTTAATGTGATGCGATAGTTTATGTGCCTCAGTGATCCATTGAGCTATGCTGGGTGGTGTTTTTACATTTTCAAGGCCACTCATACCAGATTGGTCAATGGTTAGAGACCAGACAAACTCAGTCTCCTGGTCCTCCAGGTTGGGGGTTGGAGTGAGGGTGGCTCCTTACTCCATAAAACGGGCTCTCTGTAGTCCAGTGCCAAAACTCCGCTGCTTTGCGGTAAGATTTTTGAACCAAAGACTTTGGTTTAGAACCCTAATCGTTCTGTCTAGGCCTGGGCAACCTGACAGTATCTTGCCACGCAAGACACCATGACCTTACCTTCTAACAATCCCTTGGTGCTCTGGCCGTCGCAGAGGATAATAAACGGCGCCCTATCTGCTGCATCAAGCAGGATGGATAGGGATTTGGATGCTACTGCTCAGACCTTCCCGCCTTCTTATTCCTCCTCTTGCGCTTTATCATCCTTAACGTCCCGTTCCAACTTCACTTTCGCCCCCCCCCGTTTTCAATGCCCCAATTCTTGGCCCTCCTCCACCTTGATTGAATAGTCGCTTGTCTTCTAGTTTCAACTCACACACAATCGCAGGGCGTCGCTCCAATCCAGTCGATAAGCCCATGTTCAACCAAGCGGAAAAAGTCAGTTTATCCGTTTCCCTTTGGTGTCCTCTATCCTCGCTAAGACTGGCATGCTTCAACTTGCACACTTTTCTACAGCTTGGCCAACAGGCAGCACTTTCCCGAGCACTCGAGACCCTCTCGATCGATATTTGCTGTTTATCCGAAACCCGCCTGCAAGATTCGAGCTCCGTGCTTACTCTGCGATCCTTCACATGCGACACTCTCTGCACATTCTCATTGCGCCTGTCTGGCGATGGCGCAGCTTCAAATGCCGGTCAAGCTGCCGTCGGTATTGTTTTGAGTCCCCGGGCTTAAGCTGCGCTGATCGACTGGATCCCTGTCAACAGCCGGATGTGCCCTGTTAGGTTGGCTGGCTCGTTCCAGACTTCGAAGTCGCGCGGGTTAAACGGTGCTTATTTGTCATTGCGGCTTGCGGCCCCACAAACTGCAGCCCTGATTCGGTGCAAGATGATTTCTATCACCACCTTACCGATCTTCTTTCCAGAAGAGCCACGGATACTGTGGTGCTTGCTGGTGATCTAAACACGCAAGTCGGAAAATTGTACTCTGATGAGCTTCATTTGGGCGGCCAACATGGTGTAGGCTGCTGTAATGATAACGGTGAGCGGTCGCTACGCCTGGTGAGCGACCTCTTGACTTGGAGTATGCGGACGACATTGCCCTCATATGTGACAGCGTGCCAGATTGCACTGGCTGTGCTTTGTTCCATCGGCAGGGACCAACCCCTGCGCTAACCCTTTGTGGTGATCAGTTAGAAGTCTTTCAGGATTTCAAGTACCTGGGCAACTATATTAGCGTCGGTGGGATCGAACCGTATAACAAAGCTCGTGCTTTTGCCAATCTCCGCCACCCGTGGCACAGACGCGGCATCACTCACCCTGAAGGGCAGCGTTTCTAATGCAGCTCTCTGTCCAACCCTGTTATACGATTGTAAAACCTGGCCCATCAGGTCGACAGACATAAAGAGGCCACGTTCGATCATCGCTGTCTCCGCAGCTTAGCTCATGTCTAGTGGGAACACGGCGTGTGCAATGAGCGTGTTCGGTGCAGGAAAAGCTGGGGAACCGCTTAGTACCATTATATCACGCACCAGTCTCCCATTACTGGGCCACGTTTTGCGCATGCCATCACACCAACTCCCGCGACGTACATTGTTTGCGCGCCGGGGGTGCGGTTAGTATAGGAGGAGGGGACGCCATGCGATGAATTGGTCGAAAGAAATGAGAAACCTCACTTCGAAGTTGACGTCGGTTGGTGCATCACGACTGCCTGGCTGGGGTCCTAAGGACGGTGAACACGTTTGGTTGGACACACTTGCTGATATGGATAGGAGCCAGTCTCCATGGCGTTTGTGTTGTGAGTTCCACTGTCCATCTCCCCCCTGCTTAGCGTCCCCCCTCCAATCACGATCTCATTCGTCAGGCACAATATAACTCCTTTTGCGGCACGATAAGCGGTTGTTAGCTCTCCGGGACGATGCCCATTCGACGTACCTCTGTTGCTATTTATCCTTCTTGTCTTTTGTATTGCGGCACAATAGCTAAGATTTTTTCCACCTGCCGCTAACGTGTATAATGATGATGTTGATGATGAATTTGCTGATAGCCAAGACTTGATCGTATTTTGCGCCAAAGCACAGCAGTTCAGTTTTCGGTGTTGTAGCTTCCTCAGGAGCAATGACGCCGTTTTGCATTTCAAGTAATAAATCAATGCCGTCGGCAGAGCGGACAACAACTGCCTCTTGTTTTTTTCGTCATGTTTACTGAGGCACTTCTCCTTTTGGTGACATAATCACTGCAGACTGTTGCTGATTCCTGTTTTTTATTAGTCTTAACTATGGCATTTTGGTAATAAGATATGAAGTCAACAATTTCACATAATGTTACCAAGTGATGCTTAATCAATGTCGGTCTCTTCCAGTCGAGTCCTGCACGAGCGAACAGGGAGCGATGGGGCAAACGCTCAGCGGACATACGCAGGACGTGGCTAAGCCATCTTATGTGGCGCAGTAATGCCAGTTCGTTAAAGGGATTACTCGCATTACCTAAGACAATACGTCTGATTTCAACGTTACAGATACGTTGTTGCCACCACTTACGAGCAATACTCCTCACGCACCCATTATCGAAGGCGGAGAGCTGGCGTGTGTATCATCTTGTCGAACTGGCCATGACTGACTGCCATATAGCAACCCCGCCCGAACGGTGGCATTGTAAACATGACTCTTTACCGTGAGGGAGACATCCCGACGACGCCATAAGTGTTGCAGATTGATAAACGAGGACTAGACTTTAGCGATGCGGAGAGAAATTTCCTTGCTGACAACATCACCAGCAGACACGCAGGTGCCCAGGTATACAAATCTATCAACCTGTTAGAGCTGTGCACCTTCAAATGTGCGCACAGTAACGGGCGAGTGTCAGTGCTGCAGCAGCATTTTGCATTTCGGCAGGGCGAACCACATTCCGCACCTAAATGTTTCAATCGCCAAACGGTTTAGATTGGTTTGCATATTCTGCGAGTCGTCACCAAGTAGGGCGATGTCATCGTCATAATTTAAGTCGGTTGCGGTTTAAAATTTCGGTAACCCTCCGTAGCTCTCTACAGGACTTTTTCATTAGCAAAATTGAAGGGGAACCGGAACATATGGCAGCTCTGCCCTACACCGCTGTTTATAGCGAAAGACAGAGAAAGCTTACCAGCTTTGCCGGAAACGTAGGAAGTAACGCCCTAGCGTATGTCTATCAACCGAGTCGAAGCGCATACAATTATTAGACGTTTCAGCCACCTATCGGTCAAGGATCAGTTGCATACGATAAGAGCTATAATCGAGTAAGCCGATATCATTAGCGTTATCTAAGTCGGTTGCGCGATTATCTGAAGGCAGATCGATGTAAACAGTGTGCAGGCCTTGCAAGGCTCCTAGCAGAATGGGGACTTGGGGCATACTTGTCGCATATCACTAGTGACAGGGAAGAGTGCTGAAAACTTGCCGTAAGCTTTCAAGGTACTTTAATTATGACGATATAGTGTCCAATGAATAGTGACATACTCCGTTTTTCAGCAGGCAATGCCATGTACTTGTCGGTCTCCGGAGTCGAATGCAGCCAGAATGTTCAGGAGTGTGATGATGATGGGTCTGCGCGTAGTAAACTGAGAGTGCTTAAGTATTTTACTTCTTTTCTTCGAAGAGCAACCGCACGTCCAACGCGATGCTTTTTTTGCAAATTTGCGACGAATTTGGTCTATTCATTTTAGTTTCTCACAGAAGTGGGAAGAGGCGATTTGTTCATTTGCGTGGCGACACGTCGATTTTAAAACATTGCGAGTTTTAGTTTACATGTTGTTTATCGCGGAATGGACGCATTTTGAGTGCAAATACACTAATTCTACAAATTACCGTGAGAAACTTATGTTGTTAGTTCTGTAGAGAGAAATGATATAGCACGGCCATCGAACGCAGAAAGTGTTCTTGCTATTCGCTCTTACCTCCTCCGTTGTTTTGTGATTACAGTCACTGTAAAGGAGGGTTTCCGTTTCGCTCTTCCAACTGAAATTTGATCATGAGAACCATCGATGTGTTCTGAAATGGTGTGCCCTTCAACAAATGCATTTTGGGATGTATGTGTGCTACACATGAACACATTATAGATGCTTTCGAATCAGCTCACTCTAGTCTTAACTAGCTGCTACTTAAGACGATTTCCTGAAGCCTGCATTCTCTATTCTTCTACTTTGAAGCTTTATTCTACAGTTGATTCCGGACCTGCTCCGTTATCACTTCTGTTAACTGAATCTCCTCATCGTTCTATCTCCATTTGTCACGGCCTCGAATGCACTATTAATTGAACAATTCAAAACTGAGGTGGAGTGGTTTATCTTTCGTCTCCAGTTCGATGTTACCACCCGGTTGACTGCATGGATGCGTGCTAGGTCAAGTCGATGTCACATCGCTTTCTTTGTCAGATCATCCACTCCGCATTCTTCGTTTTCTACTCTATGTACAACTACCGATTATTCCTCCTCTTCGTTTGTTATATTGATTTTTTTTACTTTTTGTACCAGTGCATTCACCGATTTAGAATTGAAGAGAATGAATCTACAAAGTCACATTCTCCTTCTAACAACCAATCGGGTGTAACATTACCTCAGTCCGTTGATCATCCCGCTGTCCCGATAGGCGGCTCTTCCCTACCGTCGAGAGGGAAGGCTTACAATGATAACCAAACTGGGAAAACATTCGCCTTTCCCGGCGCCTTTCTTTCTCGATTCCTTCCTTCGTTTCGCAGTTCGGTCGCACCCCCACCGACGACACCTACAAATTTTCTTCCATCCGAGAAACCACCGAAGGTTAGCCAACTTCACTGGTCTGTGCCGTTTACCTCCTCTTTTCTTTATGGAAAAGCGTGTAACTCAGTAGCCTGCGTTTTTGGTGGCATTCAGTTTATCACGAGACCACGTACTTAGCTCATGGGATATGCCTGAAACCTTTCACCTCTCAAGGATGCACTTCCGAGTCTGTTGCCTTAAGGCAGCAAATCTTACCACCCGTCGTTTATAATTACTTTGATGGTAAATGCAGAGTTCTTTGTAACTGGCACAGAATCTGTTCTCCATGACGGCGAGTCCCCCATCTAGTCACCGGAGGTGTTCGTCGTGTGATACAGGTTGTAGGAGACGGCTCGTTTGCGCAGCTCGCACTGTTGAGCCAAGCTGGTTAATCCATCGTCTTGACGTTTCCAAACGAGACTGTTCCACGGTGTCGCATTTTCACGTTACATCCTAGTGCATTTTATACAATCTATTGGCTTCTGCGTATTGCCATTGCGAACAACATTTACGATATAAGGTGCCCAACTTGTCAGGGCGCACAACGTCACCTCTGTAAAAGGGGTTGTCATTTCTGCATTCCGCACCACTTCGAAAGCCGTTTAGGCCCTGTTGAGCTCAACGTTGATTCTTTTGTCTTCACTTTTCTTGAAAGCTTTTTCCGAACTTATTATTCCTAGTCCTGTTTAGTTGACTATTCACGCTGGATAGCATCGCCTAGATTGTGCTGATAGTATTAATGATACTTTAACTCCACTGATGCAACAACCGCATTCAGTTAAAGTTGGTAGCTGGTGGAGAGATATCGTTTGTCCGAACGTTGCTGTTTCCGGTCAGTTCGTACTTTTTAACTGATCCGTCATTTAAAGTGACGACAAACGCATAGGTGCAAATATTTGGAAACAGAAACGTTTTTGATGCGTGTTTAGTCACCAAGACGCACTGGTTGTTAGTTGCAATCCAACCAGCGTGGATACTACCGGTTTACGGGTCCTATTTCGAGACTGGGTATCTGACCAACTCAGGTTTTGGACCGTACTTAACCGCATTGAAATAAAACATGAATTTTCGGGGGAACGGGATAAATAAAACCACGTGAGGTCGATTATAACGGCACCAAAATTTTATTTGCCTGTTTAGCTTACATGTTCCCTTTTTATATCATCCATGGTAACATTCCGTTGGACATGTGAACTTCGAATCCAATCGTCCATACTGTCATGACACGTTTATGGGCTTAAGCATTTCGGTATTCTTGCGCCTGCGTGCAGTGGGAGGGAGTTGCCTTATGGAAAGCTATTTTCACTGTGCTTCGAACCACACTTTTAGAGTCATATCCGGTTGCGGGTTACAGAAATTTAGCATCTCTTTTTGCACCCCTTTCTACAATCCTTAAGACCTTCTAACCCCCACCACTTATTCTTGTCTGGATACCTGCCATGCCAGTAGAGTGCACCTGTTCATATGGCACTTGTGGTATGCTACCATGCGCCACCATTATGCGCAAGTAGCTTTAACCACCTTTTCTGATGCATGAAGGAGGCCATCATATATGTGGTTCAACTCTACATTGGTCCCAGGTACACTGTACAGTCATCTTTGCTCTGTACATTCTGACAATTTCTTTCTGCTTACCACGCCCCACCGTTTTCACTCATCATCTCACTCTCCAGCACACAGATTCCGTCTACGAACACGAAATGCAGTCTTGTCAGAATTTCTCCCGTTTCAACGACTTACGGCGTATCCTGAAACAACACAGTGCGCGCGCTCCGGACTTTCGTGGAGAAAGTCACATGTTTAAAGTGAGACTTTATACTTGTCCTTATGGTACAATACTGCTGTTGCTATGTACTGACTACACGATGCGCGCTCTCACCAGGTTGCTGTACGTGTGGATATCTGCTGCTATCAGCGCTGCGCTTTTTCTGCAACTATGTACGAGGAGTTTTCAAAAAGAAACCGAACCTTTGCTAATCCATCTTTATTGCTCATTGCACAAAATTCTAATCACTTTCCCTCTCAAACTAGCCCCCTCTACTGGCATTATCCCATCCCAACGATGCTGCCATTTTGGAAAGCCTCCTGAAAAACCCTTTCTGCGATGGTGCGCAGGGTTCCTGTCGCATTATCCTGAATCTCCTCTATGGTATGGAAACGAAGTCCTTTCCATGTGGTTCTAAGTTTAGGAAACAGGAAAATGTCTGCAGGGGCCATGTCCGGAGAATACGGTGGATGGCGCACAACGGGAGAGCGATCATTTTCTAGATAGCTGTGGACAAGGTGCGATGCGTGAGCCAGCGCATTTTCATGATGCAACATCCAATTTTGATTTTCCCACAGTTCAAGCTTCTTCCTGCGCACAGTATCCCTCAAACGCGCTATCATTTGAGGGCATGATCCTACGCTGATGCCCACTTCGTCAGCGGTTACACAGCGATTTCCATAGATCGCAGCATGAATTCTGTCAGCATGGTCATCGTCTGTTGATGTGTGAGGTCGTCCAGGCTTGGGATCGTCAGTGACCCAAATTCTGCCGTGTTCAAAACATTTAAACCACTTGTAGCACTGCGTGTGATTCATACACTCCTCCCCGTGTGCTCGACTAATCAATTGAAATGTCTACGTAAACGTTTTGCCAAATTTGTAGCAAAATTTCACACACTGTTCTTCAAGCTTTTACATTGTCTCTTTGGCACTAATCCGACGAACAACTTGTGCACTTGCTCACTTCAGCGGCTTTAGCTGGCCAACTAACAGTCAGAACGAAATGCAGCAAATGGCAGTTTGTTGTCTAAATAAGCCTCCACATACGCTCAGTAGTTGTAGCGCGCCGGTGGGCGCGCTATTACAAAAGTTCGGTTTCTTTTTGAACACTCCTTGTATTACGCGTGTAGGCTCCAACCGCTTTCAAACTTCACTTGTCTGGGCGCTGCCCGTTTTCACTCCAATCTATCTCTTTTGTCGTTTTATATTTTAATATCTTAATACTACTTGTTTATTACTTTCACGTCCTATTTATATGCAGTATGCTGTTCTACTTAGGATCATACTATTAGAATAACTTCTCTGCGGTCATTCTTCTGTATGTTTCGCTCCCCGATTGTTTTTTTCTTAAATTTCACTCCTCACACTTTAATTGTGCATTCGCTTTTTCTTTTGCATATGTCTACAGAAAACGAGCGTGCATTTTCGTTATACATCGAGTGGCTTTCAAACTTTATCTTAACATGTTTCCGCACCCTGTTTATCACTTCTCCCCTGTCCTGTGCAGGCCACAGCGGCTGGTATCTTGACAAACCTGTCGCACACCATCGAATTGATGCAGCAACGTGAGGATCAATGGCGTAAACGGTTCGAACGCGAGGCGGAGAAGCGTCGTCGCCTGGAAGAAACCCAACGTGCAATGGCTCAGGAACTGATTCACTTGCGTCATCTTGTGGGCTCTCATCGGTCATCGAATCGCTCCAACGCAGTCAGTCACTCGCTCGTTGCGCATTCATACGCACAGCACTATGGCCCCAATCGGCACACTCGCTTACAAAGCTGTGGTCAATTGGAATTACGTCAACTTCACTCAGCGGACTTAGCTATCCCTGAGATGAAAGAGAAATCGACTACCCCCGACAGTCGGCTACTGTTCAATTTGGTTGGGCCAGATTTTGAGGAGGGTCCCAATTCACCAATTCGTGAGGAAGAATTTTACGATGCTATCGATGCGGAATCGGACAAAATTGAGCGTAAGTCACGTCCACAGACTTGTCTTTCGTTGTTGACTACCATTATCCCGCTGTTTGCATCGATCTTTAATGTGTTTACCATTGTGTCTTGTAGCAGCTAAATGCCTGACGACTTGCATTTCTCACCCTTTAACTAACATTCATTGTCGGACACATACACTTGACTCTGATACATTCATCCGTCTCGGTCTCTAAAGTATTGAGTGTTCTCTGAACTTGAACTTGCATATTTCTCATAGTGCCGAGAAATAGTACCCACAGTGGGACGGATCATATTTACCTATGCAACATGCTCATGTGTGCATGCTAAGCTGTTCATGGTTGATGTTTCTACAGAGCTACAAAAGGAATGTTTTGATTACCAAATCTTCTATCGGTGATTTCACTCTAATTTTCTGTCAGTTCTCGAGAATTCTCAATTGTTTCATTGCATGCATATTTGGGACCATGGTAACGGCGAGTTTGTGATAGGGAAAGATACATTTGGAAGCGTCAGTCCAAAGTCGTCAAGAAACGATCTATTGTATCTGGAGACAATAGTAAAAACAAAAAATAAAACATGGGGCTGAGAATCCGTGAGTAACATAGACCTTCTGTTTACAGGAATGGAACCAAAACTATGGTGAACGGGGGCTAGTAAATTGAATATTCATATAGTTCCTTCTGGGCTTTCAAGCTTTGACTGCAGTAGCCGAATCACGTGAAAAAGTGTGCACATCAGGTGGCAACGCTTTTTGGTTCTCATCTCTGGGTCATTTTACAACTTGTTTCCTTCGATCTACGAGAGCAGACTAATAGTTTCCGGAGACGCAGTACACAGATTATGTGCAGATGGCCTGGCAAGAAAAATGGCAACTGTAATCCATTATAAATATTGTTCACTGATTTCAACTCCTGCATCAGAAGCCCAACACAACTCACAAGTCTAACGGGTCGCTATACGCTGACTGTAAGTTTGGAACGCAGTCGATGTCACTGGAGGGCGATAATTTTCTACGACTACAAATGTGGCTTAAAGCAGCACCCGTGTTGAGCAATTGCATGCTGCGTTTGGTGCTGATGCGCCTTCAAGAACCACCGTGTTTGAATGCTTTGCGGATAAGAGGTCCCTGGATGATGGGGAACAGTGTGCTTGACCTGTGGAGGCCACCACTGCGGACCACGTTGCTGCTGTGCAAGAGATGATGGAGGAGGACGCGCGGCTGACTGTGGTACAGCTGAGGAAAGACGTCGGGATCTCATGGGGATCAATACACACTATCCTCGGCCTCAGAAAGGTTTGTGCACACTGGGTACCCTATCAACTTAGTATAGACCACAAAGCAACTTCTGTGAATTGGTGCCTTACCATACTTGCCAGGTTTGATCGTGGACGTTCCGCCGCTGCTTGGGAGATGCGCCATGTCAACGGACCTGCGCAGAGGTCCAATGTCATCGTAGATTTTCGGGTTAGAGAACGCATCAAGGAGGTTGATCACTCGCTCTGCAGTTCAGACCTGACTCCGTGTGACCTTTCGCATTTCTAAAAGTCAAGCACATGATGCGTGGAATCCGCTACGAGTCTCCAGAATCCGCAGTTGATGCGTTTAATGAGCTGCTTGAAGGGTTACCCACTTCGGCATGGTTTGCCTGCTTCTCTAAATGGTTTTAGCTCATGGAACTTTTCATGTACGCGGGTGGAGAGTACTTCGAGAAAATGTAATGCGTACTCTGTCGTAAAAAAACAACTTTTTCCATGGGGAAATTTATTGCGCTACCCTTATATATTGTACACTAGTGCACCTGCCGCTTTTTAAGCGGCTTCACTGTAATAGCTTATCAGATTACTTTCAAGGGCGATTCGTGATCGCTACGTCTATCAGACAGGCACTACACATTCGGAAGAGCACTGAACGGTTGACCTGTCCTTTTTGTGAGACCGTCCAACAGTGTGCATTTGATCCGCTACTTAGTCCGTCACGGTGGTCTCCATCATCCCACCTGGTCCAGCGGTCTTACTCAGCCACTCAGTCAAGTGAAGAAAGTGCTTTATGCATCAAGAACGGATGAATATTCATCCGTAACACACAAGCTTTCAGCGATGCAGCGTGATGTAAATGCAATTCAAAAATGCGGATTGCTACACGAAAAGGTAAGGTTAATTCGTGCTAGGTAAGGGATAACTGACGAACGGTACGCTCGTGTTCCGTCATATATGAATTTGTACTTCTGTTTGGTTGACAAGGTCGATATACATTCTGTCAATACACACTGAAACGGGTCACTGTACTGTTGATGCTAACCTCTTGCAAGAACCAACATGAGTGGGTACATCGAAATCAACAAAGAGCTTTGGTACACCATTACATCACGACGTGTTTTAAGGACCTGTAGATTAATCTGATGTCCTTATCCATTAGACCAAGAAAAATCACTTCAGAAGAAGTCCATCGCGTTATCTAGCCGAACAGATGAAATACACACGGATGCCGAGTTCCGACAGGACAAAACTGTCGTGTGTAGAACTTTTCAGACTGCGCAGATGTGCCTGTGACCAATCACCTTTGAAGATAAACATTTTTCTTTAACACGTTTTGCTTACAGCGCGAGATTTGATAACTCGGTTTGTCGCACTTCTGACTCAGAACGCCTTTCACCAAATGGAACGTACGTTCTCAGTTCGCCGATGGACATACCTGAGTTTGCTCCATTTCTGGTTCACATAGACCATTGAAAATCGGCACACCATTTTTGATCTGCTCCCAGCACAACAATCATGAAATTACCTACTTCCACCCCATTCCACTTGCATACCCACTTAACGTTCGCTCGTTTACGCATTACGTACATTTGCCTGACGCGTGGCCGAATTGTCCATTCGAGCAGAGTGGAAATCTGGATACACTTGTTGACATGGCTAGAAGCCGATCTCAATGGCGTTTGTGTTGTGAGTTTCTTTGTCCCACCTCCTCCAACCACAATCTCATTTATTAGGCCTAAGATAACTCCTTTTTGTGGCACGATAGCCGGCTGTTAGCTCTCCGGAACTATGTCCATCCGTCACTGGTAACTGAGCCGGCGTACCTGTTTCATCTATTTTTCTTTTGTATTGTGGTACAATAGCTGATGTGTTTTCCAGCTGCAGTTAAAGTGTATAGTGAATAAATAATGCAGTAGAAATCAAAAGAGAAAAGAACTTGAAGGAGTTATTCCCGATTAGTTTCATACAAGATGGCTAATTGCAGCAAGTACCGCATTGGATTATGACAACTGAACTTCGCCAGCGAAGTTGGAGGCATGAAGGCCGTGATACATAAGCAGTCACGCAACCCTCACCTAGAGTTATTATTTTGTGTTTACAGCGAAAAGGCATACTTTCTCATTATGTCTCAGTGTCTGGGTATTTTGGCTTGTTTCATCTCGCGTTTTCAACTTTTCTTCTTTAGCGCGCTCGCACTACGTCACCTTTTGTGAAAAACCATCTCTTCCCTATTTTCGTATGGCATTGAACTATCCAACTCCTCCGTTTGTGAAAGCACCTCCACACATCTCTTTCGAAACTGTGTAGACGAAAGCGTAAATATGCTCCTATTCACCCTTTGGTATAACAAGGCACATTTCATGCTCCAGGATCACCTGAAATCGCATATTTTAGGTTGTTTGCATTGGTTTCTCATCTAGCGTTATCTCGACCCCTGTTCTGTCAGTCATCTCGACGGAAAAACCCCATAGTGGGGGCTGCACTGGCGTTGAATGTAACCAGTGATATTTGACGACATTGACGACCTTACGTTAATTTCTCTTATTCCTTCAAACGACCAGATGAACGTTTATTGCGCTGGCCTGCCTTTGGGTGTGGGGGTGTATGATTCTCAAGTATCTCGTCGTGCAACTGTTTCCAGCACCATTATTCATTGTTACAATAGATCTACTTATTTAAGCTTGCATATAAACTTAAACGGTACAGCGTAGACACATGTTCACCGTTTTATCTTATTGTGCACAGTAATCTACATGTACTAAAAGTCTTTTCACCAGACTTGATATTGTTGTGCTACAAACCTTTAACGTTGCACGTATCTTCGCGGTACACAAAATGACTCCGCATTCGAACCTAGCTTTCGATTTCATTTACGATTTTGTAGAGGGTGTCCTTTGCATTGTTAATCAATTCATTGTGGTCGAGCTTATGTTGTCAGATCTCCATCTGGATTCCATTGGTCAGCCATGATCTGACCACGCAAATGTGGAGGGTCGAATTATCTTGATTATCACCGGCGAGAAAGTGAGCGTTTGCGTCGAATGTAGTAAAGGAGCGATTCAGCAAATATTGAAGATACTAACCGTTTTTAACAATAGTTTCATCCGTCGCGTCATGTAATAGCTTGATTGCATGTAAGCCAGAGTCTTTTGGTCCATACTGTGTTTAGTAGGATTTCTAACTGACGATGTGGCTGGTCCAGCAGGCTCCACACTGGAGCGTGACACGGTCGACTGTCAACACTCAATTCTCGCTCTTCTTTCTAGTGACCAGCAGAGCTTATGGGACTTTGCGTTCGGATGAATGGCCCAAGGCATCTGTATCTTTTAACTAAATGGCTGACTGGTGGTTCACCGAATCCATAAGCACTCATTATCTTCACTCCGGGCGAGAAACACCCAACATCTGACTGCCTCATCATTTACGGCCCTACTAATCGATTTAACCAAGGTTAAATTCAATGCGAATCACGGTCTACATTGAGATTGTGCGTCGTAATCCATTCACACACCGAATACTTCAAAATGTCCCTGATGTTAGTTATCTGGATGCATGGTCTGGTTCGCCCACTTTGACGCCATAGAACTTTGAAGATTATGCTTTTTTGCGTTTCGTCGCTGCTTATTGTGACTATGTTGCCTTTCTGTTAATTCGTTGTTATTTCAAACTGCAATTTCCATCTATTCGCTTGCACAGAGGATGCGGTTCGACTCGCTGCACTTCGATCGGCTGGACAGTTGCTAAAATCTGTCAGAGCGATGCCATCCACCCATCCACTTCACGCCAGCGTTGAACACGCGGTAGCGGAACGCATCCGCAATTATGCCAACTCAGATGCCTTTTTGTCACCGAATTTGCGCGCTGCGTCACGTCCCATCAGCCTGCAAACAACTTCCACAACTGAGATGACAGCCACAACGGCGAGCGCAGCTGAAGACTGGCAGGTAGTCACACGGGATGGAGATATGATTATTTACAAACGGGAGCTAGAAACTGACGACGGAGTGGTGCTGGACCCATTGCAAGTAGGTTTGTGTTATACCCATGCATATGTGCATACAGATGTAAGACTGAGACTATATTTAACAGAAAGTAGCAAGCTTTCTGTACAACTCTGTCGAATTATGAAAAATAAAAAAACACTTAATTGTGAATCGTCAGCAGTACTGTTTAGTCAGTTAATCGTTTATCCTTGTTCGGTTAGGAATTCGTATTGGTGTCATTATTCCCGGGTATACGATGTATTTCATTTCATCGTTTGCACCGTTTCACAAAAGCACAGGTTTCCGAAATAATCGCCGGTTCGTGTATTAAAACATTCCACAGAATCGACCTTTATTTGACCTTCTGTTAGTGGATTCCATAAGTTACGATTCTTCATTCTATACAATGCGGATGTGATACCTTGTTCATGCAGGGGACCCTGAGTTTGTAACGGTGTCCTCGAGTTTTATAGAGTTTCTGCAGGTGAAATGTTGGCTGCAGTATGGGGAAGTGATTCAATTGTAGTACTCGAAAGGTCTTATTAAGGTTAATTCTTACTCGGCGGTAGGATAGTGTGTAGAGTCTGAGCCTTCGCAACGTCTTTCACACGGAAGCTTTCGTAGAATCGGTATCATTCTAGTTGCGATATGCTGTATTTTCTCCCGCTTTTCCGTTTCCCACTGGCTTATCGGATGGTAAGCTGGGGCTCCGTATTCAAGGATGAGTCTAATGAGCGAGGTGAACAGGCGAGGGACGGTTTCTTTGGACCACATGGAGAAACTGCATCGGATTGCCCAGAGCGTACGAAGTCCCGCACGGTACAATTTCTCTGTATTTTCTAGTGTTCTCATGTCATGTCGCGAGAGAATTCCCAAGTCTCTGACAGATGTGTTAGGGTTGTGCAACTGGCCGTCCAAGGTCTATGATCGAGTGGCTGGACGTCTGGTTATACTGATGAACTCCGACTTGCTTGGATTAAGAAAGAGTTGCATTTCAATTTTAGCACGTTGACATTCGCTCTAATTCATGCTGGAGGCGAGCGCAATCGTCTTGGTTCTCAGGAATGCTCCAGATTTCCGATTCATCTGCAAACAGGGCACATGGTGACTCTAGCTGATGCGGAAGATTTTTGATAGGAATAAAAAGTAATACTGGCCCAAGTACAGTTCCCTGAGGCACGCCACTAGTCCACGGGAGCCAGTCAATCAGGTAGTCATTGACCTGTACTCTGAACTTTCGTCCCACAATAAACTCGTGTCGCCACTGAAGTAGCGTGCCACTGCTTCCGTAGGTCCTCAGTTTACGAAGGAGTATCTCGTGGTTCACTGTCAAACGCCTTACTATTCTCGATCTACACCATGTCAACATCCTTCCATTCTTTGAGAGCTCGTACCCACTGGTGGTTTGCGTACATCAAGTTGGTGGTGCAGGATCGCCCTTTCGTAAAGCCGTGTTGCGCTGGCGTCCATAAGTCAATCGATTCGAAGAACGAGCAGACACTTTTTCACAACCTTCTCGAGAACTTTGGCAAATATCAAAGTCAAACAGATCGGTCTATATTTCTCTACTTTACTCGGATCATCACCCTTGGGAGTGGTCTCACTATCGAGCATTTCCAGTCATTGGGGACAGATCTTTCAGAGAGTGATTTACTAAATAATTTTGTCATAGCTGGTGAGATGACATTCGGTAGGAACTTAACTATCATTGGGTGAACTCCGTCTGGTCCGGGGGGCTTTGCACCATCGAGGTTGATGAGTAGCTGACAAACTTTGACTACATCACATTGTATGCTGTCGAGCAAGACTGGCGCAACCTGTGCCGGTTCTGGAACAGCCGCCAGTTTACTGGAAAATACGATGAGGAAGTGCGCAGCCAAGGCGTCCGCGCGCTCCGCGCTTGGAATGATCGTCTGTCCGTCCAAGCTCTCTAAGAGCGGTAGCTAGTCCCCAGGTTTCAGTTGTGACCGAGGATGCTAGCTCCTCTTCGAACTGCCGGCGTTTCTTGATCTTTGCGACGTTACATAACTTACGCTGTTTCTTGTACACCTTATACTTCTCATCACAACCCGAGTTGATATATTTATCCCAAACTTTGCGATGCCGTCGCGCTAACTGTCTATATTCCCTATAAAACCAATGCGGTTTGACATGTCCGACTTTTGAATACTTCAGGAGAACGAACCGAGTACACAGCTAGTTAACCTTCCCCTTCATTAATAACCAACATACCTCAAAGACGCATTCTGTGGTAGTGTCCAATCAGTCTTATTTGCGGCTTGGACGAACCCGTTGAAGTCCGTCTTCCAATAGTTGAATGTCGGCTTCTGTTTGTTGTAATACGGTAACGGCAGTTCTATGCTTACTACACCGGAGCAGTGGTCAGTTCTCCAGAGGTTCGAGGACCCTGATCTCGTTCAGCTTCTGCTTACAGCTCGTAAACATTAGGTCCAGATAAGATGCGGAGTGTGGAGTTACGCGCGTCGTTTATATGACATGTTGCGTTGCCCCGATTTCAAAAATTATTTTAGCGTATTGAGCCTTAAGGTCGTCCTGACCGGGAAGAAACCGAACGTCTGGCCAGAATATGTTGGGTACATTTAGATCCCCCATCAGTAAGAACTGAGGTCGGTTCGTGTGCTTCTGTATATGTGGTAGCCAATCGCAACAACGGTTTAATGGGGTACGGTAGATAACACTCACTATTAATTCTACGTCTCTGAGGCGGATTGTGCACCACAATTGCTCGCAAAAGTTATCCTCGCTCCGATAGGTGCTGGTAAGTTTGCCATATAGTGACGATTTTATCTACAACAGAATGCCACCGTGAGTCTTTGATTTTCGGTCACATCGGAAACAAGATTATCCTGACAATGCGGCTTCTTGGGATATGACGTCGGAGTTCAGTCAAGTCTCTGCAAGTCCTAAAACGTCCGGCCGCTCAGAGACAGCGAAGCGGCACAGTTCGTCGCGTTTGTTCATTAGGCTGCACACGTTGGCGAATGCCACACGGAGGTCCTGGGAGGTATCGCGGGATGTGCCTGGAGGTTGAGCAACCGGTTGATACGAGTTCGTACACCCTTCTTGATCACCCGAAAATTTACAATTTGTATGTCAGTCTCACCTTCTTCTGTACGGCGTTTGAGCTCAATGACCGCAGTCTTCAAACGATCCCTGTCTTCGGGTTCCAAGTCTCGGCGGATGTGAAACTTTATGCCTTTCAGCCTTGACAGACGAGACAGTATGAGCTGCGGCATATTGTGATTTGCAAAGGTGATTCTCAGAGGTCGACATGACTGGTTAGTTTTCTGGCCAAGTCGGATTACTTGTTTACTCGTCACACTGTCTTCACCTACATCCAAGAGTCTATCAATGAACCCCCTGGAGAAAGTGGACATCATGATCATAACGTATCTGAGGGTTTTCGTCTTTTGACTCTAGTACGTGGAAGACCATGAGATTATGACGCCTCAGCGAAATCGGTGATGAACCTGTGGAAGCAGGACTAGAAGCACTTATCGGTTTGGGTTGTTGTTTATCAGCAAATGACGCCTGAACTCGATTACGTGACCCCTTGCGCTTTTGAGCGGTCCATGGACCCTCGGTGTTCTGAGGTTCACAGACAGACTGAGAAATTCACGGACCAATCATTGTAGCGGCATTTCTTAGCTTCCGAGCCTGAGTCTTCAGTCGGTGGGGAACATTGAACCTGAGGCTCGGCCGGGGTCGAAGACACTGGTGCTGGTGCAGATCGCGGCGTGACAAGGGAAGGTGAGGTGACAGAGGTGCTTTCACGACGGCGTTTGACCCCACTTGGTGAATGGTTTGTTTCTGCCTGGAAGAGAGGTTTTCTCGTAGTTGTTGGGGGTCGCTGTGTTTTATGGTGTCTTGCAACGCGGCATTTCTCACATATAACTTGGAAAAACCGATGTCAGATGTCGAGAGATTTTCGAAACACGTCAATGGATAAGCCAGTGCACAAAATATGGAACAAAACACTGCAGCCGAAGCACAGAAGTGCATGAGCCTTATGTCCAACCACTTTCGAACACGAACCACAATTAGCTTGAGACGGCATCACAAGATAGAGCAAATTCAAGATGGCGGACACAGATAGCAATATCGTCAATCAATGAGATTTTGGGAAGTAGCCAAAGAATAGCCACTAAATTTGCACCGATTGGAAAATGCGCCAAAAGAAGAATATTGCTGCACAGTTCACACATAAAAAACACAACACAGTAATCCGGAGCAAAAGTAGTATTCAGTACGCGGTACTTCAAAAATCCGCGGCGTCCGCGGTTACAGCTCGAAGGTATATACAGTCGATTCCGGTTAATCGGACCACATCGGGACCAGACCATTTTGGTCCTATTAAGCGGCTGGTCCGATTAACCGAAGTTACCCGATGTAACAAGATGGGACGTGCTATACATAACATAGGAAACTACTATTAGGACCTGTATTGGCGGCATATATTTATAGCAAACACAAAAAAGAACTGCTTTGATAACGAACTTTGTTCACCTAAAAAGAAATTTACAAACAAATTCTTCGTAACGACCTACAAGATATTCAGCATGCGAAGTACAGTTTTATACAAAGGGATTACCGAATCCTATTCAGCGTTTGAAGACCGTATCCAGTTTGGTTTGACGCATTCTTTTAACAGACTGCATTCGCACAAAATCACCGCAAACATGTAACGCAGTAATAGGACTACCTTCATTCCCTTCCTGCATGAAATAGCGGTGCAATGTTTCGATGCATTTCCTTGCATCCTGTTTTGTGACTGGCATCAACACGTTAGGGTTCTCTTCATCACTTCCATGGTCTTCTGTTGCTGTCGTGTGTTTCGCTGCTATTCGAGCAACAATGTCAGCATGGTACTCTTCATTTCCATCATAGAGTTGAAGTTCGTTGTCGATTGACAAAAATTCTTCGTAATTTTCAACTTGTTTCAGCTCCACATTCTCGCCGTCATTTTCATTTACAATCACCATATCCAAATCCATCTCAGAGACAATATACTTAAAGCCACA